ACAGAGGCAGATGCGTACGAGATTTGCATGCGTATTAGGCCTTTAACTGCTGACCTATCGACCTGCCTTATTTACATGCCGGCAGAATTATCAAGAATAAACTCCCAAAACTTTCAAAGAGTTGTCACAGAGAAAAAAATTAGAAATGGAAATATTATCACCCATTCTCAATATAAGGGCTCAAATACTGTCGCCTCATTTTCATTTAGAAGAAATACCACTGATGCAATTTTTAAATCAACATTATAAATGGTCATATAACAATGAATAAGAATTCATATAATTATCGATCTGAAAGGGTATTTAAGGAGTTCCAAATTCAAATATAGTAGCCTATTTGAAATGTACGTTACTGTCGCCGAGGCAAATATTATGCTGAATCCCCTCTGTTTAATATATAGTTTTGATTCTCAAGTAAAAATTTTCTGATAAGTTAAACCTTGTATCATATATATTTCTTTTCATAACAATAAATACATTTTCTTTGTGATGATAAATATTTTTTATTGTGCAATGTCCCTGTCGCTTTATTCCATTTCAACCACATTACAATCAAACACAAAGATTATACACCTGATAGTTTTGTTCTCCTTTATATATTGATGGGCTAAATTTGAAATTTCAAAGGATTAATTACTCCTACTTAGATAATGTAACATGAAATTGAACAATTTGAGCAACTTTTATAAATATGTTTACGGAATGAAAGACATGTTCAATCGTAGAGATAAGAAAGAAATGTACGTTACCTATATTCTTCCATTAAGAATATATATTAAGTAGAAAATATGAGACGACTCTGAATAAGCAACCCCTTGTATCGTGTAAACTGGCAAAGACGTTTTGCTTAACACAATTAAAAATTATTTTTTACATGAAAAGTGATCATTTGAAATGTACGTTACTGAAATGTACGTTACCATGAAATTCGAATTGAGTGAATCTTGCACGAATTTTCATGTATTCTCATACTTTCACACATTCGAATGTGTACACAAAGGAAAATTTCAAAGGTTGGAGGTCGGCTAAATCCCAAAATTAATGAAAAGAAACGTTTCTGCTGAGGAAAAAAAAATATATTAAGGTCAATTTTATGTAATATAATATGAGACCTGGTATATATTTCTGAGTACGAAACCTGTATGATGCATTTCTTATGATATGCAAGTTCAAATAGTATCAATATATTGCGTGTCTAACGTACGCTTGTGGGGGAGAATTTCTTTTTATATTTGAAATGTACGTTACGTATGGTAACGTACATTTTGCGGATTTCTAACTGACATTTTTTTTTATTTAGTCAATGAATTGCGTTTACACGAGCGAAACAATATTATCGTTACAATCCATTTGACAACTGACCACATAAATCCATCTAAATGCACCCCCTATCCTCCTAAATGTGGTAGACTGTTACCCCATGCTAGAAAATTTATTACTAAGTGTCTTAAATTCATCTTTGGCAATCTTTTTGCAGTTTGTTTACTTTAATATGCGACTTTTCATCAATATAAATTTAATTGTTGTTGATAATTTAAAACAAGGTATGCATAGGCTTATAATTGGTAGAAAAAAACAAAACAAAACAAAAGAAACAAAACAAATAAACCCAGAACACAAGACGGTTACGTACATTTCAAATACTGAAAGGCACACAATACTCAGTTTTGTTTGAATCATTGCATTTGGGGTTATATTTTTCCAGATCTGCTGAAAAGCACGTATGTTTGTGTTTTGACAAACGATGTTGCAACATACTAAATGAAATTGTTAACAAGACTGTCGATGGACATATTCGGAATAGATTTATGTTTAGTTTCAATGGCCAAACACGAACATTTGTTAGATCATAGCAAAATACGTCTGACACTTATTATTTTTTTTTTGTCTGTACCCTTGCACACAGGTAGAAGTAACTAGGCTACGACTGGTGTCAATTTCAGCGAAACGGCATAAAAGAATGGTAATGAACTGAGGTGGAGGGGACTCCCCAATAATATGTGAAATGAACGTTACCGATGTGACGTGACATTCATGTAGTTGATGACAAATAACCTCGTTTGTTACATTATGATTTCTTATATTACTGCGTTAAAACGCTTCATTGAAATGATTTTTATGTCAATAATTGTTTTTTTTCCCAATATTTTCTTATTACTAATTTACATATTATTACAAGCTTGAAATGTACGTTACCTACTCATATTCTGAGGCAATCGTGTCTTTATAGTGGTGATTGTGACATATTTAAGAAATAAACAACGTTATTCAGTGAACATGGCGTTATGAATAGCAATTGCTCTGCTGGCATATTCCATGATGCGCGTTAGCGCATCATGGAAAATATGCCAGCAGAGCTATTGCTATTCATAATGCCAGGTTCACTGAATAATCGTTGTTTATTACTTATATTTGCATTCTTTGATTTATTCAAGAATATCAGAGGAAATCCTGACTTACATAAGGACGCGGCTTCTTGTCTTCAGTAAAGAAAAACATACGGCTCTAAAATCAGTACACCTGATCAATGATCCTTTTATCTAATAAATCACAAACAATTATAAAGCATTTCCCTCTCAAACACAGTTATCTGGATACAAGCAGCGCCTTCAACACATTCTCTTAATTTTTGTTTTGATGCAGTTGTGACGTCATCGATCAACGTTACTGAAACCCTCTGACAAAAATCAATGGTTTAACACTACATGATGAAAAATGATAATGCTTTTATAATGATTATTACTCCAGAATGCTTTTCTATGATTTTTTTTTTTAGTTTTTCTATTTATTTTTAATAGCTGAATTTATTCTTGAAGTAGATATATACAAGTTATACTAGTTTTCTGAATGTTATTACCCAAGTGAGAAGAGTTATCTTTCTTTGTACAAATATACATGATACAAAAAAATAAAAATATGGCAGTTTTATAAAATTTTAAAAAGTTTTATTATACAATTAAATACATTGACCAAAACTAAATTTTTAAAGATATAAGTCAGCAATATCGATTTTTTTGAATTTCTTTTTTTTTTCAAAGAATATTATTAAAAACTTATTTTTATTCCTATTACAAAAAGTTTCATATATATACTTCTCGACCCGTAGGACAATTGGAGTGGAGTTTGTTCTACACGAATGTGATAGAGCAATTGCAATCATAGCGAAAGCAATTGCGTCCGTCTATAGTGCTATGAACGCAGTTGATGACCACATTTTCAAAGTGGGAGAGAGCAGTGGATATGCAAATATAACACAATGTGATTACATAGAGAATCTTTTTTGGAATAAACTGAAACAAAACGATGAATTTTAGATGAATTTTAAGCTTTTTATTAAACAGAAATATATCTTGAAATGTACATTACATTTACGTAGTTTTCTAAATCGGCTTGGATATATATTAAAAAAGACAGTAACTACAAAATAGAACTTACTACATGTACATGTTAAGTTCCAGAATCTATAGAAAATAAAAAGATTCCAAACTGATCGCTCTAAACAAAACAGAGAGAAGAATTTAAAGCATATATTTAAAAAAATGTTTTATATGTCTGGATCAAAAAGTAACCTTTGTTTTTTGAAAGGAAAAGTCAAACGCACGTTCGTATGCCGAGAAAATATGTTGCTGACAGAGTTGGTAGGATGTGCTGGTGTTAAGATGAGATATTCCAATTGTGATTTTAATGACTACATTTTTTTTAACATATTTTTTTGGACATTGAAGAAAGAGTAACGTACATTTCAAGCTACATTTCTGAATAAAATCACCCTCTACTTTACCGTCTTGTCATTATTCCATGTATTAAAATTTGATGAAAAAACATCTTGAAACAAAATCTTCACATACTTTCTTTCAAAGGTAATTGATAGAAAAATTGTTTTCTTGAACTTCATTTTTTAAAAAATCAAAGTGGCATTTGTGCCCTTATATTGAGAATGGGTGTATATGATATATTACCCTTTGTTCAAACAAGAAGAGTTTCTCTTAATTCAAATGAAAACTTTTGGAACTTTTTTCCCCACTATATATTATGAATTATAGAAATAAAATATTTAAAAAAATTCAAACAAATTTTAAAGTTCTTATATTAAAAAAAAATAACTGTACATCATTCATTAGTTTTTCTCTTGGAAAAAAACTTTTTTTTTATTAATCATATCGCCGATATATCATTATCTTTAAAAGGGTTTTTTTTAAAAAAAAAACATTTTTTCCTCTTCGGATTATGACATCTCCCGATCGCCATAATTTGTGTGACCTACAAACGATGGCTGCATCATTATTATGATCATTTAAACATCTCCACGAAAGTAAACATCGAAAGCAGGACTGGTGTTTTCTGAGAGGAATTGGTCGATATTAACGCCATTGCAGGTAAAGCAAGATGAGTTATGCCAGTGATAGCAAGTAAGAAGTCAAAACAACGCAAACTACCACTGCCATTCTCTTTTGGGAAGTTAACATGAAGCGAATCTATGGCAGTGTTTATTCTCTGTAAATAGCAATTTGTGCCAATTGTTCATAAAAATGTAATCATTTTCTGACCCAAATTCTGTTGTATTCATCACCAGCATATAAATTGCGCTCACTTTGAGTTTAGGTTATTCTTAAACATGTTAAAGTGAGTGCATTTTTTCTAAATTTTCTTTTCCGGTATCTATATCGCCGCTCTGCTCAATAACGAAAGATAACGAGAAATATGGAGGGGGGATCAGAACCTCAATTCTCTGGAAAAAAATTTCTCTCTATTTTTATCTCACCTGAGCCGAAGGCTCAAGTGAGCTTTTCTGATCACATTTTGTCCGTCGTCCGTCCGTCTGTCTGTCTGTCTGTCTAGCTGTCTGTCTGTCCGTCCGTCTGTAAACTTTTCACATTTTCGACTTCTTCTCAAGAACCACTGGGCCAATTATGACCAAACTTGGTACAAAGCATCCTTGGGTGAAGGGTAATTTAAATTGTTAAAATGAAGGGCCAAGTCCCCTCACAAGGGGAGATAATCAAGAAAAGACAAAAATAGGGTGGGGTCATTAAAAAATCTTCTTCTCAAGAACCACTGGGCCGATAAGGCTGAAACTTATGTGGAGGCACCCTGGGATAGTAAAGATTCTAAATTGTTCAAAATCATGACCCCCCGGGGTTGGGCGGGGCCACAATGGGGAATCAAACTTTTACATAGAAATATATAGGAAAAATCTTTGAAAATCTTCTTCTCAAGAACCACTGGGCCAGAAAAACTGAAACTTATGTGGAATCACCCTGGGATAGTGTAGATTCTAAATTGTTAAAATCATGACCCCCGGGAGTAGGGCGGGGCCACAATGGGGAATCAGAATTTTACATAGAAATATATAGGAAAAATCTTTGAAAATCTTCTTCTCAAGAACCACTGGGCCAGAAAAGCTGAAACTGATGTGGAAGCATTGTGGGGTAGTGTAGATTCTAAATTGGGCGGGGCCACAATGGTGCATCAAAGTTTTACATAGAAATATAGAGGAAAAATTTTTGAAAATCTTCTTCTCAAGAACAACTGGGCAAGAAAAGCTGAAACTGATGTTGAAGCACCCTGGGGGTAATGTAGATTATAAATTGTTCAAATCATGACCCCAGAGGGTAGGGCGGGGCCACAATTTGGAATAAAAGTTTTACATAGAAATATATAGGAAAAATCTTTGAAAATCTTCTTCTCAAGAACCACTGGGCCAGAAAAGCTGAAACTGATGTGGAAGCACCCTGGGGTAGTGTAGATTCTAAATTATTCAAATCATGACCTCGGGGGTAGGGCGGGGCCACAATGGGGCATCAATGTTTTACATAGAATTATAGGAAAAATTTTGAAAATCTTCTTCTCAAGAACCACTGGGCCAGAAAAGCTGAAACTGATGTGGAAGCACCCTGGGGTAGTGTAGATTCTAAATTGTTCAAATCATGACCCCAGGGGGTAGGGCGGGGCTACAATATGTATTACAAGGGGGAAATCTGGTAAAGAACAATATGACAAAAGATTTTCAGTTGAGCGATGTGGCCCACGGGCCTCTTGTTATTTTTACTACCTTTTCCGAAGAGAATAATTTATTAAGTTTAAAATTACTTCTTGTTTTATTTTTTTATTTCCAATTTTATATTGATAATGTTAATTTTTATTTCTCCTTTCAATTCTAGCTTCTTGTGAAAAATATATATTGTTAATTTTTTTCAAATTTAATTTTAATTTAATTTGGTTTTAAAATGCTTACCAAAGAATTAAAAATTAGTCACAATTACTTTTACAGAGTGTACCAATATTCAATTTTGAATTAAAACCTTAAGTTCAGTGTCATCCTAGGTTAGGATTAATAATGCTAAAATTAAATCCTCGCTAAAAATTATGATCATTAGGTATTTGTCTAGCCAAAATTAATTATATTGATTAAGATAAAAACATTTTTAATTCTGTAGTACCAAACATTGCCAGTGAAGTTGACTGATTTCATGAATTTATTGATTCAAGAATGTTTTTAAGTTTTGTGTGAGTTATTGGTGTGTAAATCACGCAGATTGTCACGTATAGGCATATTTCACGAAGAGCGCTAGCGCTTCATGAAAATTGTACCAGTAAGCGGATTGCTTATTTTTTCCTGCGACGTTAATTTCCGTACTTACAAATTAAGAAAACATTTTTTTGTTTATATTTACATTTGTATTTAAAATAATTCAAAGTAAAAATTGATGGAACAGCTATTGTTCAAGAAAACTACACACGTGGCTTAAAAATGATCAGTGTTGTTCATGCACTGAGTAATGACAATGACCTTCATAAAAAATAGAATTTTGCCACTCATATTCTGCTGCTTAGATTTTTAGGTTCTGTCTAAAATCTTCAGTATAATTTTTTCAACATAGGAATTAGCTAGAGTTAGTGATGAGATAGCAAAACAGTATGTTTTTTTTTAAAAAAGTGTGGGGCGATGCAGCCAATTTTTTTTCTTATTAAAACAACTGAAAAAGATTCTCCACCGAAACAAAAATGGGCGCCGAACCTTCCACATTGAAATTTGTTGAAGTTACGATTAAAAAAATATTTTAATGACAATATTAATTTAAATATCTGATCAATGTGTGCTATTAGCGGATCCCCTTAATAATTTTTCAGGTAAAAACATCAGAAAGAAATCAAAGTTAGTACATGTATATTTTATCACTGTGCCCCTTCAACAGTATTTCAGCACTTTTTTTGGCCTTTCAAGAAAGGAAAAGGTAGGATGAGGGCCAAATCTGGCCCCTTATTTGATGTAAAAATTAGAACACTGGTAAAATTATGATAGTTTGTAGTTAAGAAGTTAAAATGAAGCTTACTTTAATATAAGCACTAATTTAAATTCAAAGCTTACATGGAAGCCAGTTTAGGGTGCAGATGTAGGTCATTTTTCAGAATTTCCTCAATTCTATTGGAATTTCATCATATTTGAGAAACTTTTCTTTTCAGAAAACATAGAGCACAAGCTTGCCTATCTGAGTGAGATTTTTACACAGAAACTGCAACTGATTTTAGTGTATAAAATATATAAATTTAGTAAATTGGCAAGCATTTGCTCTATGTTTTCCGAACCAAAATGTGCTGAAAAATCGACGAAAATTTGTAGGAGAAATTTCGAAAACTGACCTATTTCCTGTCCTCACTGTGACCTGTATATTCTTAATCTTGGAACCAATACTCATTTTGTGGCAGGGGTGACAACAGGTTTTTATGGATAAAGTGTTGGATCATCATGATCATTCTGAAAGACACCCAAAATCGGGAGCCTAATACTGATCTTACCCTATCTTGGCTTTTTTGTTTGGTGCACTGTAGCAAACTCTAATGATACAAGCAAATTCAAAGAATTGTGGCCCCCCGCTTTCGGTGTCTTTGTTGGTGAGATGTTATTTTTTATGACATATTGTGTCTAAAATGAACATCCTATCATATGTAATTTCATAGAAATTATCATTGAAGTAGATTTTTTTGAAGGATGAAAACCCTTGTCCTGACCGTTAAAAAGTTATGGCCGAAGTTAACGTTTTTTAAAAGTAGGTCAACTCCAAGGTCAAGATCAAAGGGTCAAAGTTGTTGATGAAAGGTTTTCTCACAAGGATTACATATGTTAAGTATGAAAGCCCTAGCCGTTACCGTTCAAAAGTTGTTGTCAAGGTTAAAGTTTTTACATAAGTATGTAGATCTTTAAGGTCAAGGTTGTTGGTATCCAATGAAAAGTCTTGCATAAAGGAATACATATGTGAAATATAAAAGTCCTAGTATCTACTGTTTTAAAGTTGTGACCAAGGTTAAAGTTTTTTAAAAGTAGTTAAAACGTCAAGGTCAAAGGGTAAAAATTCTTGGTATCCAACAAAAGGTCTTTTCACAAAGATTACATACATGTATGTGAAGTACGAAAGCCTTAGTCTTCACCGTTCAAAACTTGTGGTCAAGGTTAACATTTTTTCATAAGTGCGTTAATCTCCAAGGTCAAGGTCAAAAGGTCAAGTTTGTTGGTATCCAATGAAAGGTCTTGCCACAAACAATACATTTGTGAACAAGCAAATTCAAAGAATTGGGGTCCCCAGCTTTCGGTGTCTTTGTGGGTGAGATGTTATTTTTTATAACATATTGTGTCTAATATGAACATCTTATCATATGTCATTTATTTAGAAAGTAACATTGAAGTTGATTTTTTTTTGAAGGATGAAAACCCTAATCCTGACCGTTAAAAAGTTATGGAAAAGTGAAAATAAAATTTAAAGTAGGTCATTTCAAGGTCAAGATCAAAGGGTCAAAGTTGTTGATATCCAATGAAAGGTTTTCTCACAAGAATAACATATGTGAAGTATTGAGCCCTAGCCCTTACTGTTCAAAAGTTATGGTCAAGGTTAAAGTTTTTTCATAAATACGTAAATCTTTAAGGTCAAGGTCAAAAGGTCAAAGTTGTTAATATCCAATGAAAGGACTTGCCACAAAGAATACATATGTGAAATATAAAAATCCTAGTATCTACCGTTCAAAACTTGTGACCAAAGTTAATGTTTTTTAAAAATGTTGTTAAAAACTCCAATGACAAAGTCAAAGAGTAAAAGTTGTTGGTATCCAATCAAAGGTCTTCTCACAAGGATGACATATGTGAAGTACGAAAGCCCTAGCCCTCACCGTTCAAAAGTTATGGTCAAGGTTAAAGTTTTTTCATAAGTACATAAATCTCCAAGGTCAAAAGGTCAAGGTTGTTGTTATCCAATGAAAGGTCTTGCCACGAACAATAAATATGTGAAATATGAAAGTCCTAGTACCTACTATTCAAAAGTTATAGCCAAAGTAAAAGTTTGGAATTTTTGTGTAAAAGTATGTCAAACTCCAAGGTCAAGGTCAAAAGGTCAAATTTGGTGGTACCCGAAGAAAGGTCTTGTCGCAAGAAATACACATGTGAAATATGAAAGTCATAGCTCCACTAAATCAAAAGTTATGGGCAAGGTTAAAGTTTTTGTGACGGACAGACTGACAGACTGACCGACTGACGGACAGACAGACAGACGAATGAGATTTAATGTCCCCTCGCTTTCGCGAAAGCGGGGGACAAAAATGCCGCTTAATGATACAAATATCATTTAGCGTAGCAATTGCAATGCTGAAGCCATAAATTATTGCATTTATTTTTAAAATAGTTGACATTCTCAACGGCTAATGCTCAATCGCCGCTTAATGATAAAATTATTAGCATATCAAGAATTAAGGTAAAAATTCAATTATGTTGATGTCATCTACTTAATCGTTTTTTTTTTTTTTTTTTTTGTCATTAAAAGCTTTTAATTCGAGAAAATATCTGACAACTGGTTCATTTTTTCTTATTTTGACACATGCTATTTAGACATCCGTTCCAATCATTTTGTTTATAAATAACATAATTCTATATTTTGTCAAAGGAAAACTTAAACTATTGCTTTTTCAAATCAGACGTTACGTATGTTCCATTTGTACATCACATTTGTTTTGTTGTCCCCTCTTGACCTACTGACTTTAAACAGTCTGACATTAGACTTTTTTATATTCCAGGACACGATTTTCCTTCTTTTTATTCCTCTTATCCTGTTAACAAATATGCTAACATTTCCTAGTAAAAGATTTTCACACCTACCTACCGACTCAATAATTTCATATCGAGTTGAGAAAAGGTAACCAAACATTCTTCTAAAGATGTTCTTAGCATCGAAAATTCATATATAATGTTTAAGTTTTTTGATTTACAAATAATTTTAATGATAGATAAAGAGGAAGATGCAAGCTCAAGTTCTGTCAGCTGTTGTGTATCGAGTAACCAGGACAATAAACTATGGTCACAAATATGTTGTTGATGTTAAATATGCAGGTAACGGAGGAGTGTGTGTTTCTGTTGTGAATTCAAAGGGGACCCGAAATATTAATCCACAAGATAGTTCTATTCGCCATTTTTTCTTTGGTGAGTCCTGCTTGCCTTTCATGGATGAGTCTACTGAACGTTTTATACTTTTGGATAAAGAATCATTGTTTTATCGTTACATACATGAAGAGTATAAAATGCAGTTTGAGAGAACAAAAATAATTTTTGGAATGAAAAGCAACGTTTCGAAAGAATACAGTCCAACCAGAATAGCTTTGTGCAATGACAATGCAATATTGATTTGTCTTTGGAACCATCAAGTGAACGAGCGTTCTATGGGTAAAGTTATCAAGATATCTTTTAGAGGTGAAACATTTTTTGAATTAGAAACCCAGAAAAATAAGCCACTCTTTACATGTCCGAACTACATAGCAGAAAACGGAAATGAAGACATCTGCGTTTCTGATGTGAACGCCGTGGTCGTTACGGACGCCGGAGGACTTCTAAGATTTCGATACAAAGGTCTGTCAGATGATCCACAGTTTGATCCGTACGGTATCTGTTGTGATTCACAGAATAACATCATTATTGCAGACATGATGAAAAACAGAATTCACATGATTGACGAGAATGGTGAGTTTCTTCACTACATTCAGTACAAAGATATGAACAAACCACGAGCTCTCTGCATAGATGAAGACGACAACTTGTATGTCGGAGAATGGTCGTCTGAGGAAATCAAAGTACTTTCTCGTCAATGACTGGAGCCAAAAAAAAAAAGAAAATTGTTTCTCGAGACTTGTGTGCGGTAATAATGTATATCAATATCTCTTATTGTATATTTTTCAATGTCGAGGTCTTAAGCTTTTGTGTGCATTTTTGTTAACAATTATTGACTAAATGATAGTTTGAACATGGAAATTGATTAAATTACTTATATTGTATTTTTCGAGCAGTGCTCTGTCTTTCATTTTTAAAATGACGATTCTTTCTTTTTGTACAATCATCATCAATTGTTATTATAAATATCTGGAAAAAAAGAAGTAAAATGCCTTAAATCAAATTTGCAGCATAATTTGTATGTTTATTTTGAGAAACGTAATATGACATTCTTTTTTTAAACATATGAATTATGGAAAATAGAACATCTCACAAATATGTTTACTATTCAAGATTTGAATTTTTGAATGGATATCTTCATTGTCGCAGCTTTGCCTCAAACATTCAACAATATAAAACCCCATTTTATGTTCACTTTTTCCGAAAACTGTTGTCCTCCTTCCCTCTTCCTGTATGTTTCTGTTGTTTTCTAAGACTGTAAATATTTTACATGTTCTACAAATCCACTGATAAAATTTGAATCAATGTTAGCAAAAGGCATTCTCGAGAAAAAGAGATTATTGAATGTTAAAATGAAAAACCCAGTCCGCGTCCTTTTCTAGAGCGGGGTCATCAGGAAAAGACAAAAATATTATTTGGTCATTAAAAATTCTTTCGCAAGAACCTTACCAGAAAAATAATTATATGTAAGTGTCCAAGGGTAGCGTAAATTGTAAATTATCTAAGTGAAAACCTAAAAAAAAATTTTCAAAAAATATGGATCATAAAAATTATTTTATCAGATCGCTCAGATCAAGCTCCTTTACACACATTAAAGTATCTATACAGATATATATATACCCCGCGTCGAAGAAAGGAGGGCATATTGCTTTGCTGCTGTCTGTCGGTCGGTCGGTCTGTCGGTCCACTTAGTTTCCATTCATTTTCTTCGCAACCGTTGCACATACTGAAATGAAAGAACAGATAGGACAAGTAATGTCGCATGGCCCCCAAATTTCTCAGAAAATAGATTACTTGTAAATAAAAAGACACCCCAGTCTTTTGAAAGATGGAAACACCTACTTTTTAGCTCTACTGGTCAGAGACCAGAAGAGCTTATGCGATAGTAATGCGTCCGTCGTCCGTCCGTCTGTCTGTCTGTCTGTCTGTAAACAATTTTTCAAAATGCTACTCCTCCTACATTTTTGTTCCGATTTTAATATAACTTGGCACACAAGTAGACTACACTAAGATACATAATTCTGTGCATCGGTTTTTGATTTCGATGAACAGTGTTGCCATGGTTACTAAAAATAGAAATTTCTGTGAAATTCTTTCAAAATGCTACTCCTCCTACAGATTTGGTTCGATTTCAATATAACTTGACACACAAGTAGACTACACTAAGATACATGATTCTGTGCATCGGTTTTGGATTTCGTTGAACAGTGTTGCCATGGTTACCAAAAATAGAAATTTCTGTGAAATTCTTTCAAAATGCTACTCCTCCTACAGATTTGGTTTGATTTCAATATAACTTGGCACACAAGTAGACTTCACTAAGATACATGATTCTGTGCATCGGTTTTGGATTACGATGAACAGTGTTGCCATGGTTACTAAAAATAGAAATTTCTGTGAAATTCTTTCAAAATGCTACTCCTCCTACAGTTTTGGTCCGACTTCAATATGACTGAGCACAGAAGTAATCTACTTTAAGATACATAATTCTGTGCATTGGTTTTTGATTTCGATGAACGGTGTTGCCATGGTTACTAAAAATAGAAATTTCTGTGAAATTCTTTCAAAATCCTACTCCTCCTACAGTTTTGGTTTGAATTCTTTCAAAATGATAAATAGAAATTTCCGCGAAATGCTTTGAAATCTTACCCCCCCCCCTACAGTTTTGGTCAGATTTCTTTATAACTTGGCACACAAGTCAACTACACTAAGATACATAATTCTTTGCATCGTTTTTTGATTTTGATGAATGGTGTTGCCATGGTTACTAAAATTAGAAATTTCCATGAAAATCTTTCAAAATGCTACTCCTCCTACAGTTTCTGTCATATTTCAATATAACTTGGCACACAAGTAGACTATTTTGATAAGTGGCAAGGACCAATTTATCTATTAATTGCTATTTTAAAATTTCAAGTCCCAACTGCTACTTTTTGCTTCTTTCGTTTTAAGTGTTAACCAGATTTAACCGGTAGAGCTACAGTCTCGACAGAGATTCTGGTTACAAAACATATTAGATTTCTTCTCATTCGTCCATAAAATGAATTTTAGAGGACTTTGTTTCTGCACGATCATGAAAAATAGTGAGAATATGCAGTATTTTCAGCATTCTTACGCTCTAAAAACTATGAGCGACTAAGAGTACCACTAAGATATTTTGTTATTTGAGAACAATACATAAGTACTTGCTTTGTATAAAAGAAATCTTCGTGTTACTCTTAGTTGCTCATGTTTAAATATTAAAAAAATCAAGAAAAAAAATCGTATAAATTTTATAAAAATCGATTGGTAATGATCAACCTGCTTTTTTCCGGATTTACAATGTGACGGTTATATTATGTTATACAGCTTTGCTTCTTGTCAAACGGTAGTTATTTGTAATTCTTTCGCAAGATATATAATTTTATACAATTTTTCAAACCATCAATCGTCTCGGGTAAAGAAAAAGTTGTTTAGAATTAATAATCTCACCGGTGATATTTCAAGTCTTTGAAAACGCACAAAATAGCAGTCGTGCGACAGAACATGCCATAGAATTTTCGACTGGATATCCACTTTCCTGATAGGATGTTATGCCATTGTATCTTTACATTGTGTCTAAAATGGTTAGCCTCTTGTCAGTATATCTTAGAATATTTCAACTCTTTAATGACGTAAGGTTTAGGTTATGCCTACAAGTTCGTTTTGTGTTTTCAATATTACATGCACATATGTTAAACATGCAAATAATTTAAATTAAATAAATCAAATATTAAATTATACACAAGATTTAGTAATTCCTTAATTAAATATTAGGTTAAAATTTATAAATAGGATCATGTTCCCGTGGAATCTTTATTGACTATTGCTTTTTTTAACGTCGAAATTCAATGGCCGTTTAATCTCATAATTATCGAAAAGCAAATAGCATGTGTAATGCAACAATTTTTTTTTTTCATTTTATTTTGAAAAGTCCGAAACTTCTGATCTAACTAAAAAACACTGTCCTAAGCTTTTTATCAGTCTTTAACCCTCCTTTTTTTTTTAAAGTGTAAACGCATCGCATTTCATACGTGCACCGATGTGTGGGTGGGGAGAGGGGAATCCCTCCCTCTCATCTTTAGTGACCAAAATGTGCATGAAATTAATCAATTTGTTTTACTTTGTAGGACATTGCATTAGTTTCACATAAAGTATAACTGAAATAAGTTGAAACGTTTTATATAAAAAAAACCCACTAAAACCGGAGAGCTTCCAGGCTTTCACCCCCTGGTCCCCAACTAAGACACCATACCGTCCCTCTATAGCTACTCTTTTCAAGAACCAGTGAGGGACTGGTAGAATTTTGTAACAGAATTCTGGACCTGGAATGGTTGAAAAATGACTAGTTCCAGTGACGTTGCATCATTTTTGAAAGTTGGGGGAGGTTTGTCAGCCAGGAAAAAAAATAACGTCCAAACTCAAAAATCCTATTTCGGTGAAGGGGGGGGTCCAACTTCGATCAGTCCTAAAAGAAAAAATCCCTTATACTTTGAAACAAAAAGTGGGGCGGAATTTCAAACCCCTTCAATGAACATTTTCTATGATAAAGTTATGTCGGAAAAAAGAGGAAGCCAGACACCTCCCCCCCCCCCCTTATACAATGTGTCTCTAATTCGTCCTAATTAATGAGAACACCCCCCCCCCCTCTTCCCCGTCGTGAAAACACGGTTATCAACTTTGACATAATGTAAATGTATTTTACAGCACGTAATGAACATTTGAATCAACATGATAAAGAGTCAACACATAACATAATACTGATTTGTCAAAAAGTTAGGGAAAATTGACATCATGTAATAGATTCCCGTCTTCCTGTAGCATATTGATGACACAATGTAGTAAAGAATTGGCCACATGTGACAATTGTTCAGATCATGTAATGAAATTCTGACATCGTGTTATATCGACTTGATATTGAATTAAAGATAAATTCACATCATGTAATGAACTACTTAGACCAAATAGTAGAGAGTGCACATAACGTAATAATGAGTTGAAAATATATAAAAACACCTTTACACCACGTAAAATTGTTTTGACTTAATGTCATAAAGAGCTGATATAATGCAATGGAAGATTGGCGCAATGTAATTAAAGTGCTAGTTAATGCCAAAAAGACTAAACAGAATGTAATGGATAGTTGACATAAGGCAATAGTTGTGTGTGTAAATGTCATAAAGAGTTGACATATTGTAATGAAAGATTGACACAATGCAAAAGTAGTGTGGACTAATGTCATAAAGAATTGACATAATATAATGGAAGGTTGACATAATGCAATAGTATTGTGGGTTACTGCCATAAAGAGTTGACATAATGTAATGAAAGGTTGACACAATACAATAGTAGTGTGAGTAAATATCATAAAGAGTTGACATAATGTAATGGAAGGTTGACACAATGCAATAGCAGTGTGAGTAAATGTCATAAAGTGTTGACATAATGTAATGGAAGGATTACGCAATGCAATTGTGGTGTTCTGCTATAAGGCAGTGACGGCGTTCCATATCTGACATTGAAAAAAAGGTGAATCTGTCGTACGTTACAAATATTTCATGAACATGTAGATCGACATGGCCCTATATATAATCACTTTTACTCACGAAATCCCAGTTTCGTAAGTATCTCGATAAATAGTCGTCTTATAGTTAGGATATATTATAAAATGATCATTGATTTAAATTCTTACTGAAAATCAATAATTCTGATTCATCGATATGACTTTCTGTATCCATATTTTTTATTCGTACATGTAAATATCTATTTATAGTACAATGGAAATCACATTTTTGTTTATGTAACATGAGGCTACAATACATGTGTACTTTGATTGAAATAGAATCATCACTCTAAAATGTTTTTGATCAACCTGTGGTAGTTTTTTTCTAGATTGATAATGAACTAATAAAGGAAGGATGTCACTATATATTCTAGC